AGAGGGAGATGACCAAGAAGGCCAAAAGAATGAAGCTGGGATAGAAAATGATATCGCCAAGTGGTGTCGTAAGCCTTTTCCAGGTCAAAAAGGACGGCAACAACGGAGGTCTTTGCAGCAAGAGCACTACGAATATAGACCTCCAAGTTCACCAGGACATCTGTTGTGCTGCGGCACTTGCGGAAACCAACTTGAGAATGGGAGAGGAGGTGATGGTATTCCAGGAACCACATCAGACAAATGTTAACCACACGTTCAAAGAGTTTGCAGACACAACTTGTGAGGGCAATAGGGCGAGAGTCCTTAGGGGATATTCCCAGAGACCCTGGTTTGCGAACAGGGAGGACGACATCGAGCCTGTCCTCAGGGAGTGAAAACGACTCCCAGATCCGATTTTACAGACTCAGTAAATACTGAGACGTGCACAGAGGAAGATGGCGAAGCATCTCATAATGAATGCCATCGGAGTCTGCTGTCGTAGAACCGCAGAGAGCCAGAGCAGAACGAAGTTCAAAGAGAGAGAAGGGATCGTTATAGGGAAGTCGAAGACGAGTGCAGAAATCGAAAGGACAAGATTCAAGGACAGGTTTACGAAGAAGGAAAGATTGGGGAAGATGAAGACCAGAGCTAACAGAAGAAAAGTGGGAACCCAGTTCGGTAGCGACCTACAACGGGTCCGCCACAAGAGTACCACGGAGGTGAAGGACCGGTGAAACATCGGGAACGAACTTACCTGCTATCTTGCGGATATGCTTCCATATCAGTGGCAGAGGAGTTTCGGACATAATGGTGGAGACATAAGATGCCCAACATTCACATTTAGCTGTACGGACGGCCCTACGGGCCACCACATTCGCCTTCCGAAAGAAAAGAAAAGAATCGGCCGTCTGCCGACGGCGGTGCCTCTTCCAGGCTACATGCTTACAGCGGACAGTCCGAGCATAGTCTGCATTCCACCAGGGAATGCACTTCCGTGGACCCCGAGAGGAAGAGCGAGGAATAGAGCGGAGGGCAGCGTCGAAGACAGTGTCATGAAAAAGGAGGAGAGAGCGAGGAAGATGCAGAAGGGAGAGGTCAGAGAGAGCAGCACTGAGGGTAAATAGGTTCCAGTCCACTTTAGCAAACTGCCACCTAGGGAAGGAGAGGGGAGGGTGAAAAGAGAAAAAGATAACAAGGATGGGGAAATGGTCACTACCATGGAGGTCATCAAGAACCTGCCATGTGAAATCTAAGTAAAGAGAAGACGAGCAAAGAGAAAGATCAAGACAGGAAAGGGTGCGAGTCCGAGAGTTCAAATGTGTGGACTCACCAGAATTCAGAAGAGACAGGGAAGGGAGGATAAACGGCCCAAGAAGGCGACCTCGAGTGTTCGTCAGAACATCACCCCAAAGGGATTGAGGACAATTGAAATCACCCAGCAGGAGCACAGGCTCCGGCGAGGAGTCCAATAGGTGTTTCAGATCAGGAAGAGAAAGCGGGACACTCGAGGGGAGATAAAGGGAACAAATGGTGTACCATTTCCCCACAAAGATACGAGCAGCAGAACAATGGAGAGGCGAAGGAAAAAGTAAAGGGACAAAGGTAACATCAGAGTGAATCAAGAGAGCAGAAGAATTAGGAGCCCCAGCCCCAGCAACAGCTGGGGAAGGGAGGGGGGGGGGGAAGAGAGAAGGAATAGCCACAAAAGCGACCAGGACGAGCACCGAGCATCGGCTCCTGAAGACAGACGCAAAGGGGCGAAAACCGCGAATTCAGAAGTTGGAGTTCAAGGAAATTGGCGTAATAACCTCGAACGTTCCATTGAAGAATAGACATCGACGAGAAGAGAAAGGAAAACAACAGAGAACAAGAAAGAAACAAAGGCGAAAGGGCAACATAGCAAGTTAAAGAAGATCAGGGTCAGCAAAGTCAGGGTAAGGGGACATGGGTAAACTGAGCAAAGATGGAGGGAAGCGGGAGAACAGACCAGAGGTAGACGGGCGGGGTCCGGAGGAGGAGGAGGAAGAGGAGGAGACAACCGAGAGGAGCAGGCAAGGACAGCAGCAGGAAGAGGGGGAGTAGAAAGAGGGGAGCGCACCTCAGCAAGGGCAGCAACCGAGAGGGAAGCGGGGGCCAAAGAAACCTCCATAGCAGGAGCAGGGGGCACAACCACCAAAATGAAAGGGTAAGGAGCGATAGAGTCAGTAGTAGGGGCTGAGGAAGAAAGTGAAGCCTTCTTACCCGCCGGGGAGGAGGAAGGAGAGGAGCCAGGCTTACGCTTCTGACTTAAAGAGACAGGTGTCCCAGCAACTATGTACCGGGCAACGGATTCCAGCGTCTCAACAGGAGAAGCTGAACATGAGCACACACCACGGCTGTTAGGAGAGCGATGGACATTAGCCCGCACCGACAGGCGGCGGAGAGAGTCAATAGACGGAGGAGAAGGATGAGGAGGAGGATCAGAGGGAGACAAGGAAGAAGACACAGGAGACATGACAGACCGGGTAGAAAGAAAGGGAACCCCACACAGAGGACCAGGAGGGGGACCCTTCGGGACAGAACTCAAAGGAACAGAGGAGGGGGCAGTGGGCGTATCAGGGTCTAAGGCCTGGAAACGGTTGTGAGTTTGAGGAAGGTGATGAGAAGGACGAGGAGAGAAAGAGCGCAACACGTGAGCATAAGAGACGTTAGCATAAGGCGGGAGCCAGCAAACCTGGCGCCTCGCCTCAGGAAAAGATAAACGCTCCCGGTGCTTCAAGTTGATAAACGCTGCACGGGAGAAGGTAAGATGGGCCTCACCGCAGTTGAGGCAGCGAGCTTGGGGAGAAGTGCACTTCGACTTAGTGCACCTTCACCCCCACACAAAGGACAGAGAGAGACAGTCCCAGAGCAGCGGAGGGCACCATGCCCAAACCTCCAGCACTTGTTACAAAGCCTAGGAGAAGGAATGTACTCCTGGACAGAGCACCTGGCACCAGCATGAATGACAGAGGGTGGAAGGGTCCTACCATCGAAGGTAATCTTCACAACCTGAAGGGATTGACGGCGACGACCACAAGGGGGACAAGTAAACGTGTCTACCTGGAGGACAGAATGGCCTTGGGCATCGAGGATATGCCGAATATCATCGTGGCAGTCCTGCAGATTCCGAACACCAGTCGCAACATGGGGCAGGAGAATAGTGCCAACACTGGCATTCAACCGAGCATTCTTTGAGACCCGAACAGGGGTCTCGCCAAGGCAGGATAAGGCAGCCAAGCGGGAAGCTGCATCCTGAGAAGGAGCAACAACGACACGTGTACCAAGACGAGTGGGTTGAAGGCAACAGAGGTATCCACAGAATCAACAAGATGCCGATGGAGGGAGAAATCCTCAGGAGGCACAGAATCAAGAGGGAGGAGATCAAAGTATTTGACCCACGAAGCGGGATCAAACAAGGCTTGATAGGCATCAGAACAGGAAGGAATCGAGCGAGTGCGGCCGTGTCGAGGACGGCGTTGAGAACCCTCAGAGAAAGAGGGGTTAAAAGGCGCAGTAGTCACAACTAGAGATTGAGCCGTGCCAAGGGACGAGGTAGTCACTACTAGAGGCTTGGGACTCGACCCAACCACAGAGGAGGGAGGGGAGCCGAGGAGTAGTCAGAGAGGCCAAAGGAGGAGCAAGGTCGGGGCCCAATGCAGCGGAGGCTACAGAGCCCGGTCTTCCAACACGGACCGACTCTGGGGTTTGGTCGCCCACCCCACGAGCCTGAGAAGGTAAAGGAGAAACAGAATGCAACACGGGTATGAAAAAGAAACATTCATTCATGAATGTGCCCCCACACCCACCATGGAGCCACAATTTGAGGCAGGACACCGACAAGAAGCTATCGCTGATCATGCCGGGGCCTCCTAGGGGTGCGTCGTGAGTATACGCCCCACAAACGCCACCTTAAGAACTGTCAGTCCATAGAGATCGGGTTCAGTGACGAAAGGAGCATTGACAATAAAAGGTTCCCCTCGCTCTCGACATTGGATACTACAGCTCTACAGGTGCAAGAGTATGCATCCTCAAGCACCCGGGCGTCAAAATAGAAGAAGTCCAAAGGAATAACCAAAACAAGCAAAACGTCGGCAGGAATCGACAAGCAGATAGGAGAAGAGGGGGTGAGAAAAACGAAACAGAAGGAAAAGGAAAAGTTGTTCAGCACAATTCGAGAGGACAGCAGCAGGAGCACAAGGCTACAAAAGGACAGAGGACTGTCCCATGGAGCATCACACTCCGGCAGCCGCCCACTAAGCCCACCTCCCGGCATCAACGAGCTGACCGGGGAGGGGGGGACAGTGTGGGGAAGTGCTGGCCACAGTGTGGAGACATGCTGGTCCACAGTGTGGGGAAGTGCTGATCCACAGTGTGGGGAAGTGCTGATCCACAGTGTGGGGAAGTGCTGGTCCACAGTGTGGTGTGGGGAAGTTCTGGTCCACAGTGTGGTGTGGGGAAGTGCTGGTCCACAGTGTGATGTGGGGAAGTGCTGGTCCACAGTGTGGTGTGGGGAAGTGCTGGTCCACAGTGTGGTGTGGGGAAGTGCTGGTCCACAGTGTGGTGTGGGGAAGTGCTGGTCCACAGTGTGGTGTGGGGAAGTGCTGGTCCACAGTGTGGTGTGGGGAAGTGCTGGTCCACAGTGTGGTGTGGGGAAGTGCTGGTCCACAGTGTGGTGTGGGGAAGTGCTGGTCCACAGTGTGGTGTGGGGAAGTGCTGGTCCACAGTGTATGTCTTGATATTTAATATTATTCTTGATTCTTGTGTAAGAGTCTTTGTTAGTTATGGTTGAATCTCCACATCATCATGAAGGAAAATAATTTCCATTTTCAATCTAATCATTATAAATCTGTAGTAGTAAATATTGTATATTTTTCTTTGTTTAGTTGCTTTGATTTCATATCTATCATAATTATTTTTTGCATGGATTGAAATTTTACTGTACAAATATTTCCTTTTTAGGAAATTGTTACTTTGATTCATTTTAGTTATAAATATTTCAGAAGAGAGCGTCACAATGTTAGTTGACGGAGAAGATCTAGAAGTGATGGACCCACTGAGCATTAACGACATATTCCTACCAGATTAAACGTTCAACTGCTGTGTAACATGGTGAGAAACTGTTAAGTTTTGGCTCATGTACTTTCTCATGGAGTTGCATCTCTGTTGCTTTGGTTTGATATTGTAACTTATGTGTTTATTACATGGTTTGGCACTGTTATTCTATCAGTCTGTTGTCTGGGTTGTTATTGTTGTGTGTCTCCACTTGGATACAACAGTAGTTGTCGGGGAGAAGAAGGCATTAGTGCTACCTCTGTGGATGATATAGTAATTGTTACCTGGAAGAACAAAGCCATTTTCTGTCTGTGGAAGTGAGAAAGTGTGCATAGGTTAGAGAGATCCCAGCATTCCCATACAATTTCTCATCAGCAGAGAATTTTTCCAGTTTTTTTGTGATTCAATGTTATATCTGTCTTCGCAGTTTGGACCTGTAGGTGCATAGCATCGAATCATAATCCGATGATTCATGATAGACTCCCTGAAATATCTGAGGCAGCAGTTATTCCAGGATTCTCCAAGTGACTTTTTACACCCTTCTCTCCCATTCTGTCCCCAGCTGAGAAGATCCAGTTGGTATTTTGGGAAAGTGATATTGTCCTTTTAGTCTCTTCATAGATGGTCCCAGCATTGTGGGGGTGCTTGAACTGTTTATAAGGTAGTTGAGTGTGGCTAATAAAGTTTTTCTTCAGGGTGATTTTTTCTTTCTTTAAGGTGAGGAGTGATGCAAAACTGTCTTCAGTGACTTCATGTCACCCACGTGCTTCCCATAAATGGCAACTAGTATACACCCCACTTTTGAATGTAGTCTACCTTGGTGATGTGGCTCATTGGGGGGTCAATATGCTTTTTAGTAGGGAAAAAGGCAGGGGGGGGGATAAGACTTGTGGCTTAATGAGACCTGGCTGAATCAGCTGGGGCCAGATTCTCGAAGCAGTTACGCAAGCACATATGAACCTGTATATCTTTTCTCAATCTTTGGCGGCTTTGTTTAAAATTATTAAACAGTTAATGAGCTCTGAAGCACCAGGAGGCTGTTTATAACAATAACAACAGTTGATTGGAAAGTTTTCATGCTTGTAAACTATTTAATAAATGTAACCAAAGCTGTCAAAGATTGAGGAAAGATGTGCACGTTCGTAAGTACTTGCGTAACTGCTTTGTGAATCTAGCCCCTGATCTGTTGAATTTAGGGTTAAATAAGCACTGGAGGGTTAGTTTGCCATGCATGCATGTTTTTCAAGCCGTTTAATAATTACAGTACCTGCATCTATGTTCCTGTTGCTGCTGAGGTTATTCAAATTAATCACTTACACTGCGTTTGGTGGGGGCTGTGGTAGACGGGAGCATAGGGAAGTGACATATCAGGTCTCTAAGAGTCTCAGGCCAGCCAAAACAGCTGGAGGCACCTGGAGAACAAGTCTGTGGGGTAATGCTCTTCCATTGTTGGAGATAGAAAGCCTGTTAGGCTTATCAGACTCTTTCTATGCCAATAACTCACCTCCAATATGCAACCCACAACAGTTGTCCAACTCATGGGCTACCTATTTACTACTAGATAAAGAACTCATAACTTGTAAAGAAACATACCTGAAAGTCCTATTCTAAATAGGACTGTAACCTGGAACAGTTGCATTGTGAGCCGACTGCGCTACAGAACACCTTAGACACAACTTGTCTAATCCTAGGACAAGGTCAGGTGAGTGGTTGCATATGAGAAACTACAGGTCAAGCCTGGCCTCAGGCTGGGCTTGTGGAGTAGAAGAATTCCTACAACCCACTCTACGTATGATCCAGTTAGAGCAACAAGAAAAAATATTAAAGTCCAGTCCTGAGGTTAATAATTTGTACGCACATGGCACTCACTTGGTGGTCTAAAAAATCATTCTAAATGCCTAGTCCTAACATGGTTGATGTAGCAACATGTTGCTGCACCAGTGCAGAATGTCACCCTAGCCTGACTGTGATGATCCTGTCCAATAGGATCTTCGATAAACTTGCCCTGAGGAGTATACTACTTCTTCCAAAATCTTCATTATATCGTTCAGGCACTGATTTGGATTTACAAGTAATCCTCTTGTTCCCTCTATCCTTCTCAAAGGGGGAGGGGGAGACTGGTACTCACCACCTCAGTTCTTGGCTGATTTGCTTGGCAGTCAGCAGTCACCTCTGGTCTCACTTTCCTGTTCTGGATTTTGCCCTGTGTGGCTGTACCAGCTGTATGTGTGGTGTGGTGGCCAGGTGTTTCTTGTACTTGGAGCAGCATGCACCTAGGGTACCCTTCCCTGGATGCTTTGCAAATACTAGCCTTGTTTTCAAGGTTCTCTTCCGCTCTCCATTAGAAGGCTTCATCTCTTGATGTTTTCTTCACCCTTGGGGTAAGTCGGGGGTCTGGGGTTTCCGTCTTACCTCGGGCAGGGGAATGTTATTGATGGGTGGGTGGGGGGGGGGGGGTGTGGCAGTGGCTGGCGCAGTCTGCTACCTATGCGACGGCTGATGTTCTCTCAGGCTGCTAGTTTGCTTGTAGTGTTGTTTTAGGGGCTTGTTGTGTTCTGTGAGGAGTCCCACAAGCTCCCTGGAGCTATCAGACTGATACACATTATTTTAGTCTGGAGCATCAGTCAATTGGAGTTCAGCCTACCAGGGACCACGAGCCAGAACCTGGGCCAGATTCACGAAGCAGTTATGCAAGTACTTACGAACGTGTACATCTTTCCTCAATCTTTGATGGTTTTGGTTACATATATTAAACAGTTTACAAGCATGAAAACTTGCCAATCAACTGTTGTTTTTGTTATAAACAGCCTCCTGGTGCTTCAGAGCTCATTAGCTGATTAATAATTGTAAACAAAGCCGCCAAAGATTGAGAAAAGATGTACAGGTTCGTGTTTGCGTAACTTCTTCATGAATCTAGCCCCTGGCCCCCCTAAGAGAGACAAAGGGAGCAATGGCCTACAGAAACCCCCCTTGTATTTGGGGGCATTCCATGTCTGCTGTCGACTGGGGTTAGCACCCAGAAAGGTAGGCATAACAAAATAGACCCCACATTGTAAAAAATTGCAACCGAAGACCAAACAGAGACAGAACTCCCCCAACCTATTGAAACAGGCAAATGTCACACATAGCCAGTTTAGGACATGTTTAGCTCCCCGTTCAGGACATGAGCTAGTTCAGGACATGTTTAGCACCCCGATACACAGCATGAAAGTGGAAGATCTGGACAACTTCTTTATGCGTGATATCCAAACCCCTGTAAATATAACTGATATTAACACGAGCATGGCAGATTTTGAAAGAGAAATTGACAATATGCCCATGCACTCAACCCCAAGTCCAGACTCATGGAATTCAATATTTATAAAGAAATGTAAAGTGCCAGTAGCACAGGCACTCAGTATAGTGTGGAGGAAGAGCTTGGACACGGGGGAGATACCAGATGCACTTAAAGCAGCAGACATAGCCCCTTCACACAAGGAAGGTAGCAAAGCATTGGCAAAGAATTATAGACCAGTTGCACTAACGTCCCACATAAAAGTATTTGAGAGAGTGATCAGGAGTCAGGTCACTAGTTTCATGGAGACCAATGACCTCCACAATCCAGGCCAACATGGATTTAGAGCAGGAAGATTATGATTCTCACAGCTATTTGACCATTATGACAAAATCACTGAGGCATTAGAAGAAAAACAGAATGCAGATGCGGTATATACGGATTTTGCAAAGGCATTCGATAAATGTGACCATGGAGTGATAGCACACAAAATGAGGTCAATGGGCATAACTGGTAAAGTACACAAAATGAGGTCAATGGGCATAACTGGTAAAGTAGGACGTTGGATACTCAATTTTCTGTCAAACAGAACACAGAGAGTAACAGTCAACCATATAAAATCGAGTCCGAGCGCAGTTAAAAGCTCTGTACCTCAAGGTACAGTCCTTGCACCACTGCTTTTCCTTATTCAGATATAGACTCAAATACAAAGCACAGCTTCGTATCATCCTTTGCAGATGACACAAAAATCTGCATGAAAATTACCTCTGCTGAAGATATTGAAAAATTATAAGTAGATATTAACCCCTTAACTGCATTGCCTCTAAATGTGACACCCCCGCAGTGTGCAGGAAATAAATTCTCTGGAAAAAATTATTTTTTCTTTTTAAAGTGTCAAAAACCCTTCCCTCAGTATGGGAATGTAAAAAAAAAGTCGAAATTGTACTTACTTTGGCTGCTATGGGGTCCGGAAGTTGGGGCGTGACGTCATCATTCCCCGTGCGCCCGTGCCGTAAGCTTTCGGGGGCGGTGGGGCGCGCGAGTTGCCGCGAATAATTTTTTCGTTCATTTTTTGCGCACCTTTCCAAATACATTTTCATTGTTTTTATGTGCCAGTCCAATGTATAATAAACACGTACACTATAATATCGCAGTACAACATCCGTACTGTCCGTAGACACCGTGACACTACATGAAACTTGTGTACACATATGCAGCACATATTTACTATGCATCATGCTAATTTGTGTATATATACAATCTATTTACATACTATACACTGTCACACACTATATACATTCACCATCAACACATTCAGAACATCGCGTAGCAGCTGCCGCGTATGGGCCAATAGCAGCTGCCTGTATGGGCCAATAGCAGCTGCCCCGTATGGGCCAATAGCAGCTGCCCCGTATGGGCCAATAGCAGCTGCCCCGTATGGGCCAATAGCAGCTGCCCCGTATGGGCCAATAGCAGCTGCCCCGTATGGGCCAATAGCAGCTGCCCCGTATGGGCCAATAGCAGCTGCCCCGTATGGGCCAACAGCAGCTGCCCCGTATGGGCCAACAGCAGCTGCCCCGTATGGGCCAACAGCAGCTGCCCCGTATGGGCCAACAGCAGCTGCCCCGTATGGGCCAACAGCAGCTGCCCCGTATGGGCCAACAGCAGCTGCCCCGTATGGGCCAACAGCAGCTGCCCCGTATGGGCCAACAGCAGCTGCCCCGTATGGGCCAACAGCAGCTGCCCCGTATGGGCCAACAGCAGCTGCCTCGTATGGGCCAAC